CCCCCCCCCCCCCCCAAAGTTTTTAATTTGAATTTTTCAGTCCAACTGAGCCATCAAACCAAATTCTTAATAGGTTGCATGTCAGTGTAGGTAGTCTGAATTAATACATGGCATTGATACTTCTTCCACATTAGATGAGATGAATCTTATGAAGAAATGTTTGAAAAAGTCACCCATTAATAAGAAATGTATGTCTATTAAGAAGTTTTGTTTGTTTTGTTTTTTTTGTATTGTGAATTTTTAGAAGCTTGACAAATGAAATAATAGTTGAAATATATTAAAGGTATTTTTTGACAAGATTTAAAGGGATAGTTCACCCAAAAATGAAAATTTGATGTTTATCTGCTTACCCAACAGTATTTATATCGTTTTTTTACCTCTGATTCACCGCAATGTCAGAACTGTCCTGAGCACGTTCACAACATCCGGAGCATGACGCATCTTCTTCTTCTTCTTGCTTTACGGCGGATCGCAGACTTATAAGTGCATTACCGCCACCTAACAAGAAGAAGACGCCTCACGCGCCGGCTGTTGTGAACGCACTCAGGACAGTTCGGACATTGCGGTAAATCAGAGGTAAAAAACGATATAAATACTGTTCAGTTTCTTGCACAGACCGATTGTTTAGTGTCTTTACACATCAATGTATCGTCACGAGCCGCAGGGTTTAATTTGGTTTTGTTTGTGTATGTTTTTTTGACTCTCAAAGCCGTGATTCCCATCCACTTCCATTATATGACTGACAGACTGCAACGGTTTGAGTTAAAAATCTCAGTTTGTGTTCTACTGAAGATACAAAGTCACCTACATCTTGGATGCCCTTCGGGTAAGCAGATAAACATCAAATTTTCATTTTTGGGTGAACTATACCTTTACATTTTTAAAACTGTAATGCGAAGAACACATTACAATTCTACTTTAAGCATGTACTTTGCAATGTGTTCATCTCTCATAATATCAAATGCAAAACATTGGCTTTATTTTCTTTATGGCTAGTTATAACTTGTTTATGGCATGTTCTTAGATCATTTTCGTGGAGATGTACTGCATACCTTCCCTGGTTTGAGTTTGACCCACAGCTCGTTGTCTGGTCTCCTGAGTTCAGCGGAGAGCTGCCTGTGAGCCGTGTACCAGCGCCGCACCACATCATGAGGGACTGTGTTAATAACAGAACGGTCATAGTTATTATACCTGCAAAACAAGAAAACACAACTCAAACAAAACTGCTGCAAAAACGACTTGGGTTATAAGGTGGAAAATGAATGACACAATGATAGTGTTTTAAGTATAGATGTTCCTGTGTTATCTGTACATGACAGCACACGCAGGAAAAAGTCTCTTACCGAATCATGTAAACCTCGTTGTTCCACGGATAGACGTTGAGCACGGGGCCGATGCCGATCATGTGGTTGCGATGCTCACTCAGGTTCTCCACATACTCGTGTTTGATTGGCACGTGGGAAAGCAGCTCAAAGTTCTCGGGCGTTCGCTGGAGAACCGCGTCAGCGGCGTGGAAACCGTCCACCAGCAGAGTTCTGCCACCCGTTCCTTCATGTCTCAGACAGTGAAACACCTGGATGCTTATGGAGAAAAACAAGGCATTAAAAGCACTGAAGAATGTGGACCATTTTAATCACCATTATACTGTACATGAAAGTTGTGTTACTCTTGATTTCCTTTTGGCTTTACCTTTGCTCAAACTGAAATCTGACACAATTTTGCTTTACATTTTTGCTTTACATCCAACATTAATACAAATGTTTTTGTTAAGCGTCTGCTAACCATTATGCAGATGACACTTTTCAGTTTGTTTTTTTATTTCTACTTCTTGATGCAATAACTAAATCATTGATATCAACAATAAATAATTGTGTGTTTTATAATTATAATAATACTTAAGTGCTACAAGTCTAATATTTCCTGTAACATTTCACTGAGTAGCTGTTTGCCTGTTACAATTCGAATAATTTATGGAAAACAAAACATTAAGATAAATGTTAAGTTAATAATAAATACTGTAGTGTTGGGTTTTCATCTTTAGACTGGTATTTACTTATGAGTAGAAAAGTGTGGACATCAGTAAAAAAATTTAAAAATACATAAAAATCAGTCAAATCTCTTAACTTGTAATCTAAGGTTACTCCAGTGTTCATCAGATGTTTTAAGCTCTTATATAATTCTTTATATAATTAAAGAATTTGACTCCCTGCCGATTGACTAAGCAAACTTGATCTGACAGCATTTGGCCTTTCGTGGCTAATTGAAGTCCAACTTTGATTTTCCCGTTTACCCGCAGGGTTCTTGAAAGTATGACGTGTCGGTGTGGCGGTCCAGTGCCAGCTTCGTGTAGGCTGTATCTCCACGAGAAAAATCTGAAGTGAAGTTCCACATCCGCCCATACATGGTCTCCCTGGAAACAAAGAATTGCTTAGCATAAGTCATCTTAATTAGGATAAACTATTATTGTGACCTTCATTTTCTAAATCAATCATCAAAATCTCTGGAAAAAAAGAATGGCACGGTTCTTCTTCCTGTTACACTGCAGCTGAAACTCAAAATATCGACATGTATCACGGTATGCATATCACATGGGCTTGAGATAACACAATGATTGAGATAATGATTTTAATACTTCAAAACGTTTATGGTGGTGCAGATAGCAGAGAATAAACTGGGTACAAGGCGTGTGTGTGTGCACAAAAGACACTATGAGAGGGAAGAATATGAAATGCTTATGTACACACCATGCATTTTTCACTAATATGTTTTAGTTCCTTTGATAAAGTCTATGCTTTATACAGAGAAATATCATAATATAGACTTCACTTTCCATTTGTGCTGTTTTTTGTCAAATACCAATCTTCAAACTTATCAATGCCAGTTTATTCATTCTTTAAGCAAACATTTGCCTGTATAGACTGTCCGGTGAGCAACCAGCTTTAATCTTGTTTGGAGTATCTGTAGTATGTTGGTTATATAATTATCAATCAATTAAATGCATTTAAATTTTAATTCCATTTATGATTATCTTATCGCATTCTAGGGCTGTCAAAACATTTTTTCCGAATTTCGAATATTCGTCGAATTTAAAAAACAATCCACATTCGAATGCAAAAACGTTGCATTCGAACTTTAGGTCTGCGTCAGCCGCCAGGCAGCCTTATCAGTGGCGCACGAAATGCGACGATGATGTAAGTGTCATTGCATTTTAATGCTTTTGTTAGCCTATCCAGTTGAACCCACTAGATGTGGCGCTGCTACGTTGTTCATTCAA